TCTTCCACGCAAAAATCTGAAATGTGCTAGTCTTCCACGCGATTAGTGAAATGTGCTAGTCTTCCACGCGAGAATCTGAAATGTGCTACTTTTCGACGCGAATAATGAAATGTGCTAGTCTTCGACGCGAATAGTGAAACGTGCTAGTCTTCCACGGTAATTTGAGATGTGCTACTCTTCGTTGGGAGCGACGATATATGGCCGCATTGATAGCGTTCCTAGATATTGAGGGTGCCTTCAACTAGTCTCTGCTAGTCTGCTAGTCTCACCACTTGCAGCAAAACGAATCGTATGTGGCCGAAATGGAACGAGAAACCGTCGAAAGGTCTGCTCATGGCGGGCAGACGAGACTTTTCCACAGGCATGGGACTGCTGACGGCCATGTTACCAACGGGAGGGACGCGGACAGATTCCCCCACACGAATTCTGCAGAAGCTGCAGAAATGAGCTGCGGCACTTGTTATGCGAATACACCGTACACCACGTAAGTTTATGGGCTAAGAATTTTTCGAGGGTTTAACCGAACGAGCCATTGTAGAAATACGGCAGCTTGTAGGTTTCGCAAACTGCACATGATGGTTCTCTAGGTTCTCCTAGGGTTCTCACGACACGCGTGGTAACACAGTGAACCCACAATTAAGGGCCAAGGTGAGCTGGTGGCCTCACTGGCAGCCGTTTTAACTAACCTAACCTAACCTACATAAGTATTTAATACTTTATACTGAATTTTAATTAAAAAATTAAAAAATTATAACATTACAAATTTTTTAGTAACTAATCAACTACTGACTACACATATACGCGAAGGACAAAGTTAGCTATTTAGTCTCAAAATATTATTACAAATTCTTAATTTTTTTTTAGAAATGACCGTTTATTATTTTAAGCATAAATGTATTTGTAACAAACTTAATGTACTCGTATGTACATAAATATATCTATTTATACTATATAGTAGACAATTATAACATAAGTTAGTATTTATGGAAATAAAACAAAAAAAGTCGTCGAGTATTAAATTACATTCACATACATACATATTTCAATTTTACCTACTGTGTTGAAAGTCATTGTACTTACTAAAAACTCTACGAACTCTAGAATTTCTACAAATACTTTAATTTATGAACAGAAAACTGGAAATGCGTCAAAATTTGGGAACCGTAAACTGAAATTTTTATGAATAATACTTTGGAGTTTCGAGTTTTATAGTGGGCGCATAGACTAAAACACCGTGCGACTAAAACAAAAAATATTAAAACACAGGAATCAATCAATATACTCACGAAATTATGTGCAATTTTTTTTTTTAATAGCTTTGAAATTTCAAGGGAAAAAGCAAATTCTGAAGAAGGTAAAAAAGTAAAGTTTTTTTTGGTTTGCAAGGGCGAATAGGTTTTGAAAATGGCCTTTTGATTAATTAAATTTTTTTAAGCTAATAAAATTAGGATGAAATTCGCGGAAATACAATTTTTTCAAAAATAATAACGGCAAATTTTCAAGGATATCCAAGGATACATTTTTTAAAAGACATTTTCAATATACATATGTACATATATGCGTCCTTATAGACAAAAAATATGTTTTTTATACCTATAGATTTTTTTTTTTTGGAATTTGATACATATGTATATTTCTATTCTACATTGCACTGAACGTTTTGACTAATATTTTGATTTTTTCTTCGCAGTCCCTTAAAAAAGTCCTGACGTCAGAGAGAAAAAATTTGTGTAAAATCGACTATCGCACGGTGAAATCTGTTTTCGTATTTATAAAAATAAATTTTCTAATTTCCTAATTATTTAAAATTTGCTTAATATTTTTTAAGTTGCTTGTAGAAATCAAGCCTAAGTCCAAGCCCAGAGACACTTTTTGCTCTTTGTGCTAACTTTCTTTCGATTCTAGCACTTTTTAATAAAGTCATCTAATGAAATATTGTTTTATAAAATATTTAAAAACTGCTTAAAGTTTGATGAATTGGCGTTTAAGCTGCATAAGTCGGACTAAATATATATTTATTTTCACTTAGACAATATTTCTTCCAAACATACTTTTATTTGTTTTTTGTAATTATTTTCATGTTTAAAAAAATATTTTTGAACAAGTTTAATTACTATAGCATAAATTGTTTTAAAGACTAACATAGTATCAATCACTCTACACTAAAAACCTTTACTATTCGTACAACGAACTAAAAAATACATATGCTACAACAGCAACGACTACTCCATCTAGCTAAACACAAAATAAATGCCTACAATTTTTCAAAATACTACTTCACCTCATCGCCCTTCGCTCAGTACAATCCCGATGGCGTATCGGTCACCTTTGAACCATGCGCGCAAGAGCGCGTGCGCGTCGCCAACGCCGCACCGTTACAAATCGTCGGCTGCGCCCCCTGTGCCGATGCGCTTTGCTGCACCAACACTGTCACATTGTTGACGCCACTCCCAGTGATGCCGCCACCGCCGCCGCTGTTGCTGCTGCTTAAACGCATCGCCGGATTGCTGCCAAAATATATCTGCTGATTGCTACGCGATTTCTCGCGCACCACCTGATGCACCGCTACCGTTGGTGGCGTGCCGCCTTCCAGCAGCGACTCGTGACTGCATGAAGCAAAGGCCGCTTCCAAACGCTCCACATTTTTGGTGACGCGACGCGCTTGCAATGCGGCCGTCACATCGGGTTTAGGGTACTTTTGTGGCGTATTCATGCCAGTCATAAAGAAGACGCCATTGAAGTGTTGCGCTGGCGCTTGCGGTTTCTTAGCTACCAAGGGTGGCGGTGGTGGTGGCGCGGCCCCTGACATACTTTGACGCTTGCTAACGCAGTTGTTGGCATTTCCACCATTGCCAGCGTGCTGGTTATTGTGGTGGTGATGCAAGTGCTGATGTTGGTGTGTATGCGGATGCGGTTGATGTTGATGCTGGTTGTTGCTTGCCTCGCGAAACGCTTTCATTGTCGGATCATCGTCACTGTGGCGCGCATTCATTATAACATCCAGCAGTTCGCGCGTCGTGCTCGCATTGTACGCGGTGGCAGTGGTGTTCGCTTCCGGTATATCCGGCGATTCGATGCTGTATGGCTTGTCCATGTCGGTGTGTGGCTCATAGTCAGCCTCGTCGAAAAAAGTTTGCATTGCTGTGACGCGTTCCACAGCAATAGCGTCGCCATGATTTTGTAGCATTAACATGCCATACTCGGAGCCGTCCAGCTCGGAGCCATCTGCTTGCGAGACGAGATGTGCAAGCGAACGCGATTTACGTGGCGGCTGTGGCACTATATTAACCGGTACAATATCCTTCTCCTTGGCGGTCACGGACTGAGTCAGCTGTTGCCTGAGTTGGTGTTGTTGTCGCTGTTGTGTAGATATCTGTTTCTCTGCCTCGCTCACTACATGATCCAGCTCTTGCATGGCATCCTCAATGGTGGTGGCAGTACCGGTGGCAGCACCACTATCGCCCGTTGAATTTTCTGGTGATTTGGATTTGTTTTTGTGGTGTTGCTTACCGGCGGCGCTTGACTTCTGTGGCAACACCAAAATGGGTACGGGACTTAGTGAGGGACCCGTTTCCGAGCTGCTGATACCCTCATCCTCATGCTCACTCTCATTCTTGCCAGGTGGTACATGACGAGGCAGTGCAACGGGTTGTTTGTCCAAAGACTTAAAGGTGTTCTCATTCTGTGCGCCTTGAAGACGGAAGATTTCGCGTTGCAATTCGGCGCAACGCTCCTGCAGACGCCGTTCCATGGATGTGAGTACGGCTTTCTCTTCGTGAAGGATCTGTAAGGAGTTTGAAAATATAGAGAGGAATGAGAAAAATGGTGATAATTTCTAGGGTCTCACCTGCACTCGGCGTTCCAAAATGACCATCTGACTGCGTACGCGATCGGCTTCTCGTGCCTGCGTAATCATTTTATCCACATCCACATAGAGCTCGTGAAAGCGCTTCATTTCATTGCGTAAATTTTCATGCCAAGGTGAAGCCGGAGAAATCGTCTGTTGGCACATATTTTAATACAAATATTTGAAATAGATTATCCCACCACTCACCTTAGCTAAGGAACCAGGCTCAAAACCGGCCTGAAATAGTTCCGCTTGCAGGTATAGACGCTGTTGTAGATTTTCAGAGCTCTCCAAGAAGGAATTTATGAATCTGTGGAAGAAAATTCAGGCACATAACACGATAAAACAACAACAAGAAAAATCAACAGATGAAAGGGGGCGACGCTTATTGACTTCAATTCACTTCCTGCCAACACTCACCTGACTCCCACTGCCTGCAATTCTCCCGAGCCACCACCACTATTCAGCATGCCCACCAACAGTCGAAAACGTACTGGCTCACTGCAGCGCAATCGTAGCGTCGACATTGCTTCCGAAACGGCTGTATGCCCGGCTGTGACTGATTTTTGTGAGCCATGTCCCAGCGCCGTTTTATCGCAAGCGGCAGCCATTAGTTGCATGGCCAGAATGCGTGCGCGTATACCCTGACCTGTCGCCGAGGAGGCCAGCGGCATTAAGCCTACCGGCGTTGTACCCAAGCGGGCGGTAGCGTCCAGCGAGCGTGAACAGCAAATGCTGAGGCATTGACTGGTAGTGTAGAAAATGAAAACGGTTAATAAAATGCAGATTAAATGTAAAAAGTAAACTAAGTATTCATTTACAGGCAAGCCAATTCATCAAGCAATGCGCGCCGTTGATAGGATTGCGGATTTCGAGGCATTGAGGCGGTCATTTGGTTCGGCGCCAGCGGAGTATTGCTACTTTGAGATAGCTGTATGGCGCGCAGCACTTCAAGTAGCAGGCTTATGCCGTCCGAGGGGGTGGCGACGAACTCTTGAACAAAACTGGAGTGAAGGGAAAATATAGGAAAAATTCAGTGACGAGGAGTATAAAGGCTGCATTTCTTTATTCATTCTGAACGTTTGGAATAAATNTGCGGATTTCGAGGCATTGAGGCGGTCATTTGGTTCGGCGCCAGCGGAGTATTGCTACTTTGAGATAGCTGTATGGCGCGCAGCACTTCAAGTAGCAGGCTTATGCCGTCCGAGGGGGTGGCGACGAACTCTTGAACGAAACTGGAGTGAAGGGAAAATATAGGAAAAATTCAGTGACGAGGAGTATAAAATGTTATTTATTAATTATTGTAAATTTATGTAGGTAAAGTAAGTTATAAAATTTGTAAAGGTAAGAAAAATTNTGTGAAATGGGATTATCCGGAATGTATAAAGAAACGCAGCCAAAATGTTATTTATTAATTATTGTAAATTTATGTAGGTAAAGTAAGTTATAAAATTTGTAAAGGTAAGAAAAATGACACTGAAGATGGCACAACGCCAAAACCGGTTTGTCTCCAAACCAAATTTGACAAGGGATGACGGAAAATCGTTCCACATTGCATCACACTCCTACCCTGCCGGAAACACCAACAACGAAAATGAGAGTAAGAAAAAAAGTTAAGAAGCGATTACAGTTCAGTTAGACCTAAGGAAGGGCTTGGATCTGGAGAACTACTTTACCCACAGTGAGACAATCTCTCACAAAGCTTAAACATATAGCTTGTGTATGTGTACTGGAGTTAGTTCTCGAGCTCGAGCCACTACATATTACCATAGAGCAGGCAGCCAAGTGTACTCTCTTAAGTTTCGAAGAGAAGGCGATGAGAAAGGAAACGTGTTATTATCTAGGATCATGGAAAAAGTAGTATCCCAGCACAAACTAGTTTTTATTGCCTAGAGATAGTATGAGCAAGGTATTTGTTTTCGAGAAAAAGTTTAAAATAGAGTCACGCAGCAAAGCAATGTTNGTTATTCTCAAAAATCCTCTCTGATCGGAGCAATCTTGTATTCTATCATTCTTGGGAAAAAGTAGTATCCCAGCACAAACTAGTTTTTATTGCCTAGAGATAGTATGAGCAAGGTATTTGTTTTGGAGAAAAAGTTTAAAATAGAGTCACGCAGCAAAGCAATGTATATTTAGTAACTCCATTATGGAGAGATATATCCAAAACCCCAGAAGGCAATGGTAACGGCAGCTATGGTCCCAGGATGAGACTATCTGTATATATGTTGAGATTTCTGAAGGTTTTCCAAACGGAGGTCTGCGCCATCCTTTAAGGTTAAATCACCTCTAGTCCTTGGGTGCGTGGAGAAACTTAACGCCGTTGCTTAACACAATGACATTTATGCAGTTAACTTGGGTAGTATGCAGTCCACAAGGGAAACGAGGTAGCGGACGGCTTAGCCATTCCTTGTAGTAGTCCCAAGCATGATCGGGTAAGAGATCAGTAAAGCGACAATAGAAATTACAGGAAAACACTGGCGAAGCACCAAGTCAAAAACTTACAGAGGTGTGAAACCTGAAAAGGAACAGACTTCTAATTCACCACCTAAAAGAAAAATTGAGAATTATCTCAGACCTCTTAAAGGTCGCTGCAGGTGAAGAGCCCATCTACACCAGTAAGGGATCCGGTAAAATTATCT